GGCAGTACCCTTGAAGGAATTCTGAAATCACCTCTCGGGCAAAGGCCCCACCAAACGGCCCAGCTCTTCTTGATACTCTGTGCCTGAACCACGGTTTAGGGTCTACCTGTTAGGCTTTCGGGTTTCGAGTTTGGGATGGGTTTAGGGTTGGGGATTTAGGGTTTAGAGTTTCGGGGTTTAGGGTTTCGAGTTTGGGATTTAGGGTTTAGGGTTTAATAACCTGTAACCGAAAAGACCTACCTTTTTAAGGAACGATGTATAGAAAGCATAATAAGGAACTCTTAAAAAGCTAGGTCTTTTCGGTCACAGGTAGGGTTTAGGACCACTTGGAGTGGAGGAGCATGGGACTAAGCGTATGAGCCTCTATGAATCCCCAAAAGTGCATATTGTGGTGGTAAATGCGCGGGAGCTATACGGCGATAAGGTTACGAAGTATTCAGACGTCTAGAGTCTAGTGACGTGTAATCCTCATAGGGTTTTACAACACAGGACTTCGAGTTGAGGGATTGACAAAGGGTGCATGGTTTGCGGGGTCACCTGTGTTCGGGTCTCTCCGATGGGGTTGCTTGTCCACTGAGTGTTCAGCTATGGAAGTCTGCTTGGGTCGGCTCGAAGACTGCCTTGTTGTTTCGGAATAAACCCTAAACCCCAAAACCCAAAACCCTAAACCCCAAAACCCCCAAACCCTAAACCTAGGGTTAAGGGTTGAAGGATTTCTTCTTGATGCTTTGGGGTTCAGAGGTTGGGGTTGAGAATTCGTGTGGTGTCAGCTCCCTGGCAAATTTGCGATTGAGTGCTTGACCTAAGATTTGTCTTTAATGTTTTTGGGTTTAGGGATTTAGAGTTTCTTGTGCATTTTTGGCAGCAAGCAGCTATGCCTGTTCATTGAAGGCGTGGGTTAGAATTTCAAGGGTCAGATCGTGCACTCTTCAGGCTTCGAGGCTTGCAGGTTTGCTCGTTTGTGCAGAACTTGGCCGGAAAGCTGAACAGCCCTAAAAATGAACGAAACACATCTCAACAACTCAAAACCCTGCAACGCTGTTAATCCCTGCCAGTAGTTGTAACCCATTTTCGGGGACTTATAACCCTACTTATTATAACTACCCATGAACCTGCAAGTAGGGGATCTTAAAGGGATGTAGCCCTAAACCTTACCCCCCAATGCCCTGTGCAGCGGCATTTTTCTGCCCTCGACGGTGCACACGACACAGCGGCCAATCACCGCGGAAGCATACTTGGAGGTGGCAGCACGACAGAGAGCAATGGCTTAATGCCGGGGCATGAATGTTTAGTGTATGGTTGTGGGGGGGATATTATCGTATGAACATACGAGCGCCTATGATCGCAGACATTAGTGAGCGCTACGCATTCCCGTCCTCCCCCCTGGTTTTCTCCAGTGCCTGGTTGAGGCTTTAGGAGGCCCTAAACCCTAAACCCTAAACCCCTAAACCCCAAACCCGAAACCCTAAACCCTAAACCCTACACCCTACACCCTAAACCCTAAGCCGTGCTTGGCTGAGGCTTTAGGAGGGGGACTTTCGGCTTGCGGCCTCGCGGTGCGATGTTTCGGGCCGCAAGCTCCGGGCTTAGCATAAAAAATAGCCCTCAACAAGCCTTCTAAAATACTGGACTTTGAAGTAACCATGGAGAAAAAAGTATAGACTTTTATCTTATAGTGGTTCCTTTAAGGAACAGGTCCAAAAAAAGTATTCAAGTATGGTACTCCAGAACCCAGGCCCGCAAAAAGGCTTCTAAAATAGGGTCTTCCTGAAGCCCAAAAGCCCTTAAACGATGAGTCCTTTGAGGGCAAGGGTAAGGACCCTAAACTACGGGAATGGTGGTATAATAGGGCCCAAAAGCCTTAAACTTATGCGTCCTTTGAGGCTAAGGGTAAGGCTTCTCCCCGGAACCCTAAACCCTAAACCCTAAAACCTCAACCCTACACCCTAAACCCTCCTCAAAAGATGCGTCCTTTGAGGCTCAAGGTCAGTTTCTAAGGCTTCAGGTTTCCGGGTTCAGGGGTTCTTTTGGGGCTTCGTGTTGGAGGCTTAGGGGCCTCTAGGGGCCTCAAGCTTGGGGTCTTAGGGTTTAGGGCCTTTAGGGTTTCAGGTTTAAGGGTTTAGGGTTTAGGGTCTGGGGTTTAGGGTATGGGGCTGTAGGGTTTCAGGTTTAGGGTTTAGGGTTTCGAGTCTAGGGTTTAGGGTTAGAGCCCTAGATGGCGAACACCGTCCGGGGACCCTTCGCTGTGACTGGTTCCCTGTTGGGGCCATCTTAGACATGATCATGTTTAATCCTTCTTAGGGTTTTATAATGGCAAACATGTCAAAATTGTATCCAACAAGGACCCAGGTGAGCTTGGGAGCTCAAGCTAGAAAAGGACTTGCGATGAGTAGGTACCCAAGCTTGTTTTCCCTCCTCAAACCCTCAAAATCAAACCCAGAACACTCTGAAGCCTAAACCCTAAACCCTAGTCCCTAAACTCCTAAACCCCAAACACAAAAGCCGCCGTCAGATAGCTCTAAACTTTCCTGACACTGCCAGAACCGACTTCTTTCTCCTTGAGACCCTAGAGCCCTGTACTTTAACCACCAAAAAACTGCTTTTCGTAAAGTCATGTAGCTGCCTTGATAGATAGAATCGGGTTTGGGGGTTCCTTTAAAGGGTTCCTTAAAGGGTTCTGTAAGGGCTACTGTAAGGGTTTAGGGTCTAGGGGCCTGAATACCTAGCTCCAAAATGGGCGGTATATGGTCCCAAGTACTGGGTGGTATTGGAATACCCTAACCCAGACCCCCGAGAGAAACTAAAAAGTAGATCCCCTAAATTTGGGACCCTAACTACTAAAGGGTACTGAATAGGAACCCCCTTATGGGATCTACTTTTTGGATCCTCCCGGGGGTCTGGGAAAGCACTTACTCCAGTAGGGTCATCACTTCGACAGCCACGAGGGTCCCTAAAGAGTAGGGGAGTCAGTACGAAGGACCCCCGAATATGCAGCACCCCTCAGTTTTAGGGTTTAGGGTTTAGGGTTCAGGAAGGACCCCCGAATATGCAAAGATGCCAGCTCGCCTTCAAAACAACCGACATCTAAAGCCGAAGCCGTTGCTTCTGGCGGTTTCGAACGCAGACTGCCACCTCTGAGGGTCCAAAGGACCTACAGTAACAATCATGTACTTGGGTTACGGATAGTAGTTTTGTAGGTTAGTATTCAGGAGAGTATATGATAATTAGGTCCTTTGGACCCTTAGGGCCTCTGAGGGAGGCTCAGGGAATCTGCGGCGATGAGGACGATGGCTTCGAAGTACTTTTTGGAAAGGTCTGAGGGTTTCTAAAGGTACAGTACGGGTTCATTCTTAGCTGCCCAGTACCCTGGCCCCAACAAGTTTAAACTTTTCTTTTCGGAGGGGTTTAGTATACCAGAAAAGTCTTCCAAGTTTACCTATTGGGCTCCTGAGGTTTTTGTTTTAGCCCCAAGAGGTGAAAGGTTACCTACTCAGCCCCTAAGTTTCGGGTTCAGGAGTTTATCGGGCCTTCGGGCATTTAGTGGCTTAGGGTTGAGTCTAAGGATTCAGGCTCCTATAACGGTAGCTATCCACCTGAAAATGTCCTAGATTCAAGGAACCCTTATAAAACGGAGGCCTTTCTAAGGATTCCCCTAAACCCTAAACCCTAAACCCCTATACCCCTAAACCCTAAACCCTAAACCCTAACCCCTATACCCCTAAACCCTAAACCCTAACCCCTATACCCCTAAACCCTAAACAATAGGCCCTTTCTAAGGATTCCTGTCGGGCTCCGAAGCGGCCCCAGGATTCCCCGAAGCTCGGACTCGCCGACGCCAAAAGCGCTCTCTTCGCCAACCGCGAAGCGCGAGTCTTCAAAACCGGGGTTTAGGGTATAGGGGTTTAGGGGTTAGGGTTTAGGGTTTAGGGGTTTAGAGTCTTCAAAACCGGGGGAAAACACCTCTGCCATCCGACACCACCGACCTTGATACTAAACACCGTTATTGAACATTGCACCCCCAACCTTAATTAGGGTTTCCGGTGTAGGGTTTAGGGTTCATAATACTAAAGACCTTCATTGAACATTGCACCCCAACCTTAATTCGTGTTTTGGGTGTAGGGTTTAGGGTTTAGGGTAAAGACCTGTATTGAACATTGCACTCCAACCTTAATTAAATAGGGTTTTGGGTGTAGGGTTTAGGGTTTAGGGGTTTTTAATGCTAAAGACCTTTATTGAACATCGTTCGTGTTCGTTACCCTGAGACCAGAATGATACCAGAAGAACTATATGCACCAGATGGCATGATAATCGACACCTATCTTGAAACTCTCAGCCCCTAATTAGGCCCGAACAACCTACGGCCGAGTACCTTAGCGGCTAGGGTACTAAGGCTTAGCCCGAAAAAGGTTAACCTTTTGAAATATAGTAGGTTTATATAAGTCCCAAAAGGTTAAAGGTTACCTACTCAGCCCCAAAGAACTCCAACGTTTACATTTACATGGCACCAAAAACAGGTGGGAAGCCAGAGATTGGCACACCACACACTTCCATGCCAAAACCTGGTGCAATCAGCCTTATGGAGCCTTCATAGAACGCGAAAACGCAGAATGCACATGGTTTAAATTTATAGATTTTTGGAACCCTCATAGGCACACCTGAAACCATACGGGACCTTTATAAAGCCCCAATAACATGCCTATACATACACTAGGACCCGTTACACAACCTTCAATGAAACCGTTGTGAAGCCATGTGGAAGCGGATAGCCCTTGTATAAAACCTTATCTAGAAACTCGGTAAACCCTTCAACAAACCCTATGGCACTCTGCAAAACCCTGTAAAAAAACCATAATAAAGGCCGTAGAAAGACCGTAGAAACACCTTAAAAACCCTACGAACAAAATCTCTATAAAACCGTAGGATCAAACAAACCCTAAACCCGCAGGTGCCTACTGCCCCTAGTGCCCTATATAGTAGGTACCCGGAGGGTTGGGGAAAGGTCAGCTCAAATTCTCCGTTTGCTGGCGCAGAGCCCGGGACTCGGCCAACAACTCTTGGACGGTCCTCAGCTGACTTGACTTTTACAAGGATCCTCTAGATTAGGAGGTAGGATTAGGGTTTAGGGTTTAGGGTTTAAGGTTTAGGGCTAAAAGCTTAGGGTTTAGGGTTTAGGCTTAGGGGTGTATGACTTGACTGTTGCAAGGATCCTCTTTTCCCACAGGCCCCTAAGTAGTTCCTTTTTTTGGTTTATATTTAGATTCCTATAAGGAAATCCCAAAAAGGAACTACTTAGGGGCCTATGGGTAGGTTAGGAGGTAGGATTCGGGGGACCATGGGGGATATAGACCCCCTCAATAAGGTCCCTTTTCAGAGAGCCATAAGCAAGGTTAAGAAGGGTGCCTTTTAAGGGGTGTCCCGAATACTACCTAGGATAGATGCACATTAAATAACAACACATGTTTCTATACATGTATGGCATACAAACAGACATATAGGCATACATGTGTAAGGTTGCATGCAGACGTACATACGTACAGGACAGATAGATAGATAGATAGATAGATAGGTATATAAAGACGCATGGATGGATGGATGGATGGATGGATGGATGGATGGATGGATGGATGGCTGGCTGGCTGGCTGGATGGATGCATAGGGCCCTGTTCATGCACGTATGTGTGTATATATATATATATGTATATGTCTATATGTATATATACATATATACATATATACATATATACATACCTACACACATATATATATATATAGACATATACAGACATATCTGCAGTAAGCAGAGAGAATATACATACAAAATAAACGCATAACACATACATAAATAGGTACTTAGACAATAGACGAATACACATGTGTATGTATCTATACATATACATATACATAATATATGTAGAGACGGATAGAGAGGTATAGGTAGATAGAAAGAAAGATAGATCGATTGATGGATAGGTAAATAGACATAGATTGCAATTATGCACGTACGTGTCTGTACTTCCATACCGGTACACACGCTATATGCTTTCGAGACATGTCATAGCTTTAGCTGTTCTCCGGCCGAGCAAATCCAAATCAAACCATGCTGCTGTATTACAGGGCTTTAGGTTTTAGGGTTTACCTGGACCCCAAATAAGCTACCTTTTTAGGGTTCCTGATTACAGTTTCTTTATATCAACTCCTTAAAAGGGTAGGTTCTTTGGGGTTAAGGTAGGGTTTAGGGGGGGGGCAGGCCTGATCGTGCGTCCTCTTCCTTGAGCTTGGGGTTCAGACCGAGCCCAATGGAGGTTTCCGAGTTTTAGGGCTTTAGGGTTAGGGTTTAGGGGTAGGATCCTGATTATGAGGACCCCAAAATAAGAAATCCCCCAATTTTCGGAAAGTCCCAAATGGTAACTGTCCATCTGGCGCTCCGGGGCTCGCAGCTCAGGGCTTTTTGAAGGCCCAGGATAGGCTACTCAAAACCCCGAAACCCATGAACCCCCAAACCCTAAACCCATAAACCCTAAACCCATGAACCCTAAACCCTGAACCCTAAACCCTGAACCCATGAACCCTAAAACCCTGAACCCTAGAAAATTCAGGTCAGCATCATTTCTCGTAGAAACACGAGGCCTCGCGCCGCGCGGATCAGGGGGGATGGGTGGTTGTGGAACCACTCGTAGCCTGAGCGTGTCGATTGGAAGGCCCAGCGATGGCGCGTCTCTGGTGCTTGGAGGTTCATGCCAGTCCTAAACAACCCTAAAGCTCTACTTGTGGGTTTAGGGTTTAGGGGTATAGGGGTTTAGGGGTATAGGGATTTAGGGTTTTACTTGGAGGTTTATGGGTAGTTATAAGTAGGGTTAGAAGTCCCCGAGTATGGGTTATAACTATAGTTACCCTCCTTATAACCCCACTTATAACTACCCATGAACCTCCAAGTGTGCTTTGAAGTAGCAACACATGTTTAGCCCTAAGGCTCTAAGGACTCATATCTTAAGGCTTTTGGGGCTACAAGACCATACTCTGTGAGGCTTTTGGGCTATTTTCAGCCTTAGGGTAAGAAGCTTAATCGTTCTCATAAGGGTTTAGGGTTTAGGGATGACCAGGCAAGGCAAAAAGCACACACAAATCCCGGTACCCTCTGTTAGGAGTTAGAGGCAGAAGCCGCAGATGGTCTAATCCTCCATGTAGTTCGGGGTTCTGTAGAGGGGGCCCTTAGCACCTCAACGCTCAGGCTTCCCGGGGTAAGATGCTGGAATGACAGACCCATCATCTCCTTCTTCATCACTTTGTCTTACTGTTGCTGCTCTTCTTCATCTCACCTGCTTGAGCCAGATCCATGAACCCCAAAACGCAAATCCAAGAGCCCAAAAGCCTCGAATCCTCCATCCGGACACAGCAACATCCAAGCCCAAAAAGCTAAACACCCTAAACCCTAAACCCTAAAAGCCCTAAAAGCCCTAAAAACCCTAAACACCCTATAAACCCTATAAACCCTAAACCCAAAAAGCCAAACGCTCGAAACTCTTCCACTCTAAATCCAAAGCCCGGCATCTTGGGGCCTACCTGTAGCCGGAAAGACCTACCTTCTTAGGGCACCTGATTCATGATGGTTTGGGGTTCTTTATCAATTATGGTTTAGGGTTCTGTTAAGGGCTCTTTATTAAGTATGGTGTAAGGTTCTGCTTAGGGTTTTTTATTAACTAGGGTTTAGGGTTTAGGGTTTCTGTATATACAGTTCCTTAAAAAAGGTAAGTCTTTTCGGTTGCAGGTAAAGCCCCAAAACCCTAAACACAAGCTCTAAAACAAACGCTTCAATCCTTACATACGCCCAAAACATGCTTGGGTTCGGGGGTTAGGGGTCCAAACCCTGAACCAAAACGCTTCAACCCTGGAGAGTAACATAGGGGCCTTAAAAATCAAAACAGGGTTTTGGGGTATGTTATACGAAAAAAACTAATAAAGGAACCCCCAAATTTTATTGATAGCCCCTAAACCCTGAACCCTAAACCGCAAAGCCCCAAAGCCTAATCCCTAAACCCTAAACCCTAATCCCTAAACCCTAAACCCCTAAACCCTAAACCCTCAAGCGCTAAAGCCTAAACCGTACGACCGCCAAGGGACCCAGGCAAGTCTCAATCCTCAGCCAGAATCGCAGGCTTTGTGGACTCTGGAAGTCTAGAGACACTACCTGTAACCGAAAAGACCTACCTTTTCAAGGATATATGAATAAATATATAGATAGATAGATAGATAGATAGATAGATAGAAACCACCATCATGCCAAGTAATTGGGATTTAGGGCTTTGGGCTGCTTCGGACCCAAACCCAAAAACCCCTACACTTCGGAGCAAGGATCATGTCATACTGCTGCACCTGAACCCTCTAAAGCCCCAACCCCGACAAAAAAAAAAACTAAGCCCCTACTTTGGACCAAGGATCATGTCATACTGCTGCACCTGAACCCTCTGGCTCATGGCGCAGAACGGCCCCTGGATCTCATAGGCCGGGAACCTCTCTTCTTCAGCAACCAGGCCCAAAAAAGTGTTTAGGGTTTAAGGGTTAAGGGTTTAGGGTGTTTAATAGACCTATTATATAAGGCCAAAAAGTTTAAAAGGTCTCCCATTGGCTATCTAGGGAACTCGGCATCCCGCTGCGACTCGAAGGAGTTCAGGAACATGTGGTTCCTTAGAAAAGGCCCGGGCTCAGGAGGGTTTAGGGTTTTGGGGTTTATAGGGGTTATAAGGGTGTAGGGGAAAAAAGGGCTTAAGGGTTTAGGGGCTCAGATTTTGGATTCAAGCTTTGGGGTATAAGGTGCTGTGACATAGGGGCCTTCATTCTTCGAACAGGGGTTTTGGAGTCTGCTCTATCACAGCTTTCATAGGAGCCCTGGAATGCCTTTTCCTTGCTGCATACGGTTGATGATATTAGACTAGGGCTTTCGTGTTTGGCTTAGGGGTTTAGGGTTTAGGGTTTAGGGTATACGGCTGATGATCTAAATCCTTAGCATTACCCATAACAAGGAATATACCATAATTCCCGTAGTTTAGGGTCCTTACGGTAATGCTACTGATGTAGATCATCAACCGTATTTCTGGCTCCCCCAGCATAGACCAAGGCCAAGGTCAAAATTGAAGCCGGAAAGACCTACCTTTTTAATTTTTCGGGTTCCTTATTCTGGCTTCCAAATATAGCTCCTTGAAAAGGTAGGTCTTTTCGGTTACAGGTTATTTAACCCTAAACCCTAAACCCTAAACCCTAAATCCCAAACTCGAAACCCTAAACCCTAAACCCTAAATCCCAAGCTCTAAACCCTAAACCCTAAGCCCTGAAACCCTAAGCCCTACATCCCAAGCCCTTAAAACCCCAAAGACCAAGGCACAAGGTGGAAATCGTTTGGAGTGAGACCGGGATGATGCTGCTGACCTCCTGAGCTCCAAATTTCTGGGGGGGGGGGGTGGATCGGGCCTGCTGGGTAGTTCTCTAAATTAGGGTTTTTGGGGCTTTAGGGCTTTAGGGGTTTAGGGTTTAGGGTTTAGGGTTTAGGGTTTAGGGTTTACGGTTTGGGTTTAGGGTTTAGGGTTTGGGTAGTTCTCTAAATTAGGGTCCCTCTTTTCGGGTTCCGTAAAGGGATCTATAGGGGTTCCTATAGGGTTTCTATCAGGGTGCTACAAGGGTGGTTCTCTAAATGAGGGTCCCTTTTCGGATCCGTTTTTATCAGGGTGCCGTACAATATTGGGGACCCCAAAAAGGGGACCCTACTTTAGAGAACTACCCTGCTGTCAGCTGGTCTGAGGATCGTTGAACGTGGGATTTAGGGTTTAGGGTATAGGGTTTAAGGCTGGTTTCGAAAGGGCTCGCTAATTTCTTCCTATTTTCGCACTAATTTCTCGCTAACTTGTCGCTAATTTAAATAGAAATCCGATTATATTAGCGAGAAACTAGGGAGAAATTATATAGCGAGAAATTCGGGAGCGCCTTCCTCCTCCCCCTCCTCCCCTCCTCCCCCTTCCCCCTCCCCCCCTCCCTTCCCTCTGCCCTCCCCTCCTCCCCTCCCCTCCCCTCCCCTCCCCTCACCTGCTCGCTAATTTCTGGCTGATCTCTCACTAATTTCTCGCTAATTTCTTGCTAAGAGTTCGCAAACGCAAGGTAGTCAATGCGACACGCTCGCAAAGTAATCGCAAAATAATCCCTGCGAAATCCCAGTTTGATCGCTAATAAATCGCACACGAAACAAGCTAACTCGCTAATCAGCTCGGTAAATAATCGCAAGGAAATCCCTAATTCATTGCTTGGTGGTGGTCTCAGTCTGTACAGGGTCTGAAGGTCACAAGTTTAGGGCTTATGGATGACAATAAACCCACCTCCGAAACTCGAAATCCTACGAGACTCGAAACGTAAAAGGAATCCAACCAAAGAAAATCAACAGCACCCAATCAAGCTGGCTGCTCATTCCTCATGTTTAAGGGGAAGTTAGATGTTACCATCTGGATAAATTGGTGACTCAGTGGGGCAGGAACCGGGCTTACTGCCCGAAACCACAAAAAAGCAAACCCTCAAACAACCTCAAAGAGCCCCTCATGACCAGACACCAACTATGCATAATACCTTCTTCGATCCACAGAGTCTGCAAGCAGTACCTAAATGACTTAAATGTAGAGGCTACACTTACTATACTTGTACTGGGGGACCCTAAGAATTTCTACAGGGAATTTATCAGGCCCATGTGTTACTTACTTGGCGCTGTTGGAATCGTAAGGGTACCAAAGCCCAGGGCACGTGAGGCTCGAAACGGAACCAGACATTGCGATAGCCCCAGACAGTGATGTCTTGGCGAGATGTCTCCTGGAGAGGTCCGGCTGTGAGGGTTAGGATCTTGAATCAGAATTTGGGGTTTCACCACTTTATTTTAAGATATTTCACGACGAAGACGGCTAGGGGATTTATTTCGTGCCAAGGTTGATTTCTGAGTTTATGCTTCATGGTGAAGGCAACCGTTTCGGTGCTCCACATGTGCGCTGGGTATGTTTGTCTGCTTTTACTTCAAGCATCTATACACCCTAAACCATAAACCCTAAAACCCTTAAGCCCTAAAGCCCTAAACCCTAAAACCCTAAACCCTAAAGAGCCATGGCCTTGAGGGTGTAGGCCCTACTCCAAAACCTGACACGCGCTCCCACTCTTCTAGCAAACCCTTAGCCGATTGAAGATCTCTGAAAAGTAGCCTTACAGGAACCCTGATAAGAACCCTACTTGGAGGTTCATGGGTAGTTATAAGTAGGGTTATAAGTTCCCAAAAATGGGTTCTAACTATAGTTACCCTACTTATAACCCCACTTATAGATACCCATGAACCTCCAAGTAGAGAGAGAGAGAGAGAGAACGAAGGGAACCCTTAAGGAGGCCCTGAACATACGCCTTTGTTCGAACCTTGAAGGGAACCCTGATACCCTAAATTCGGAGGCACCTTCCACGACAAGAACCCTTAGAGAATAAAAACCCCTACACTCTACACCCTCCCTGAACAGGAACCCCACCGAGAACTGAACCCTAAACCCTCCCTGGCAGGAGGAACCCTTAGCGGCTGAGGAATCAAAAGCAAGTACTTCAAAACGGTAAAAACATCTATATTGAAAAGGTCAAAAAAGCACTATTTAAGGGATTAGAGGAGCTCAAGGACAGAGATCCTTGGAGAAACTGAACCCGACTCCTCAGAGTACTGCTGCAGTGCGGCTGTGACCGCTTGTAGCACCTCCCAAGACTAGAAGAGGGCTCACGGAAAGATGTACCCAGTAAATTCAGTGTACATAAACGACATGTAACATCGTATACGGAAAGTAGACTATGTAATAGACTGACATTTGGCATAGACAGTGCATTTGCAGTGAAAGGACGCGACTTGGTGTATGATTTCATAGGTACTGCCCTGGCGAAAACACTCCCCTCAAGCCTGTTGCAACGAAGTGTCTGATCATGCCCGCTGGGAGTCAACTTGGCTCACAAAGGCGTAGAGACACGGCAATCTATCCGTGCCATACAATGGTCCGAGGGCTTTGACGTATATTATGGTGCTCTTAGGTAAGGACTACAAGTGATGACAAGTCTTAGCTAGTCGGAACTCCACCCTGAACCCTACACCCTCTAAACTCGACCCCTAAACCGTAAACCCTAAACCCTAAATCCCGTAAATCCTAACCCTAAGACCCGAAACCCTAAGCCCATTTTCGTACCTTGTAGTGGGTGTCGGGGCCAGATGCTTCCGGATCGAGCGCCACACTGACCACATCGGGCTGAACTTCTCGCAACAGCTTCCTGAGCGCTGGCCATGTCAACTCCTTCAAATAAAGTAGGAGTGCCCGCATCTCTAATTTTGTAAGTTGGATCGTGGGACTTCTCTGGAGTGAGATCTCGGCCTCCGGCAGCCAAGGTATACAACGTCACAGTTCACGCCAAGCCTAATTCAACCCTTAACTCCATGAGCCCAAGTAAATACTTTCCCTAAGTGTTCAACGGACCCAATAACTACGTACTTAGGTTTCGGATAGTAGTTGTGTAGGTTACTATTTGGGAGAGTATATGAACATTAGGTACTTGGACCCTTAGGGTATATAAATACGGTATATATAGTTACATGGACCCTGAAAGGGACACTTAAGGTACCGGTTCGTGCTGTGCAAGCCAGGCTTCAGCACGGGAACAACATCGCGCTGCTGAGTGGGCTCCGGGGCGAAGATATCAGCAGTGTAAAAGCCCAGTCTTAGGTGAGAGATGTTCGGCAGCTGCCAGCCGATGTAGCCCCAAACGCATTCTGCTTCGAACTCGCGGCAGGCACCTTTTAAGATTTGCACTTCTTTCATATCCTTCTGGCCAGCATACTGCTTGGAAAAGTACGTCTTCCTTGGTTCGTCTTGTGCGGGGGTTGTTTAGGGCTTATGTGAAACATCTTCGACTATGGCCATGACATGCGATACATGGCTATCTCTCAAAACGACAGCACAGACATCGTGCCAAAAGCACCAAAGCCGCAAGACAGAAACACGCTCCAGCAGTTGTGTGGCGTTGCCGTCTCTAGCACTGTCCTCAAAGATCACGGACAGATTGTGCAAGCAGACTAAAGTGTCCCTATACCTGTCATCGACAACGATGAACCATAACACACTGCAATATCCCTAAAGCCTGCACCCTAAACTACCATATCCCTAAAAGCCTGCAGCATGCTAAACCTTACACCCTGAAATGTCAGAAGAAGTGTCCTCAAAGATCACGGAGAGGTTGTAGACCAGCCTCCAGTCCGGGACCGCGCATTCTTCCAGAGTATACGGTTATTTTGGGTCTACCTTAACCCTAAGTTACCTACCTTCTAAGGCGCCTCATATGAGTTTCTCATATAAACCCTCAAAAAGGTAAGGCAGTTTGGAAGTAAGGTAGGGTTTACGGGAAACTCCGAAAAAAAACATGTAAAATGATGACAGCGATGAAAGGGCCTTTGTTCTACATACTCCTGGGGCCAGGTAGGGTTTGTCATGGGACATGTGAAAATCTTGGGCCCCCAGAGTCTAAAGCGGTTTAGGGTTACATGTAAGCAACTCATGAACATGTAAGTCCTACCAACATCCCGAAAGGTAGGGCAAAACAAATGGCCCAATGACCATGAAAGGCTATTCTTCTACATACTTTCGGAGTCCAGGCATAGCTTCAACCCACGCCAAAAGAAGCTGAGGGTAGATTTCAGCTTTCCCGGCTACAGACAGGCAACACTGGCCTTGATGGGGCTTGAGGGTTTAAGGTCTGCAGACATAGTGCTGATATCCCCTCGTAGTCCAACATCATAAACACATCTATAAACAATTAAATAAAGAAAAATATATATATATACATGGGTATATATATATACATGGATATATATATATATACATATGTATTTGTATGTGTGTATGTATGTGTGTATATATATATACACACCTATATCAGCATACTGCAAAGTCAGCGCCCACAGGATCCGTCTAACACGCTCGCAATGCTTTATGGCAGCCCTTCTACTCCGCTTTCAAGCTCCAAAAAACCACCGTGCCAAACAAACAGAAGGGTGTATGATCGCAAAACCTAAACCCTAAACACTAAACTCCAAACCCTAAACCTAAACCCCCTGAACCCTAACGCGAAAGAGCTGAAGTTTACCAATCCCCGAAAACCCAAGGCAACGAAACCTTACAACCCGAAGCCCTAAACCCCGGAACCTCAACCCTATAAGCCCCTATCCCGAAACCCCTAAACCCCGAAAAAAGCTCCCTAAACCGCTAAAAGGCCCGAAAAAACCCTAGACCCCGAAAAACCTGAAAACAACAAAAAAAACTAAAGCCCCTAACAACCCTAAACCGGCTGTGGTTCTCTGGTGGCCTTCGGGCTGCCCCTTCGTCTCGCAGTTCGTCGTCGGCGGCCGCGATGCCATCAAGGAACCTTGCCCAAAACACTCCTAAGGTGCCTAAACTTAGGGCCTAAACGAGCCTATATGGGGTTTAGGGTTTAGGACACAGGGTTTAGGGTTTACGATTTAGGGTTTATAGGGTTTAGGAGATCGGGTGTAGGGTTGAGGAGATCGGGTGTAGGGTTTAGGATTGAGGGTTTGGGGTTTAGAGTTGAGGGTTTGGGGTTCAGGGTTGAGGGTTTAGATCAAAAGGCTCCTAAGTGCCTATATAAGCCTAAGTATGGCTAGGGTTTAGGGCAAGAAGCCTTGCCCCAAAAAATCCTGAGCACCTATATAAGCCCTACTTGCAAGCTCATTCCAAGCAATCTGTATGTACTTGCAGTTTGGTTGTCAAACTTGGGATTACAGAGCGCCGGGGCAGACCTTCTGAACACCAGGCACCATCATGTCGCAGCCCACGAAAACGGTAGCACTTTGCAGACGCAGATGGCGAAACAAGATGAAATCTCTCCTAAACCCTAAACCCCTAAACCCTAAACCCTAAACCCCTTTTGACAGGCTTATGACCATCTGACGTAATAGAAACCTGCCCCGAAGGCTCCATGTGCACACACATACTGTTGATGATATAAATCCTGCATGACCTTAAGGCTCCTAAACTATGGGAGTTCTGGGATATTCCTTATTATGGGTCATGCAGGATTTATATCATCAACCGTAGTACATACTTCGGCCTTTTACAGGGGTTCCTACACAGGTACTTTAATGCTTAAGTATATTCCTATGTCGGGAGAAGCAAGGCCTTTGCTAGAGCTTAAGTTTGAAAAGGAGAAGTCGGATCGGAGTGGGGCGGCCTTAGCAGCCCTGTTTCAGCTCAGGCAGAACTGAAAACCCTACACAATAAACCCCTAAACCCTAGACCCTAAACAGCGGAAGCAATACTGCGTTTAGCAGTAATTTCGCCGCCGAAACCGAAATCCCAAACTCACAACCAATGGCCTAGCCGAAGCGGGAGCGGAGGTTGGATATTGCGATCATGAAACCTACTAAACCGACTTCTTCCGGTATTTTGCCGAAGCTGAAAGCGAGATACCGGGCTTACACCCCTAGAGACTCAAACCTCCAACACACAACCTCAAGACATCCCTCGAGCAAAATGCCGGGATCACTGGGATGATTCCCTGCAGTGGGTTTAGCTGCTGTTTAGGGTTTAGGGTCTAGGGTTTGGGGTTTAGGGTTTAGGGCTTTAGGGTCTAGGGTTTGGGGTTTATGGTCGTCCTTTAGGGTCCGTCCTAACTTCTTCCCCACAACAACTCATCACACACTAGAAGCCTAAACAAAACAAAAACATCCCGACAGCATCGCAAGCTGGAGGTCTGACAAATGCTTAATCGGCTGTGAGGGGCGGGGGGTGTCACCCTAAACCCCAAACCTGAACCCGAAGCCCCTAAACCCTTAAGTATTCTATCAGGACTCACAAGGGGAGAACCTTGAACCTGGGTACTTCCAGACGTCGCGGCGGCGGAAATCCAAAGTCGACGGGTCGAAGTAGCCCTCCTCAGATCAGTCTCGCTCGTTTTGAATCTGTGTAGGTGTTTAGGGTTTATAAAGTTTAGGGTTCAGGGTTCTTCAGGGTTTGGATGTGTAGGTGTTTAGGCAAAGTTTAGGTGTTTAGGGTTTAAAGTTTAGGGTTTAGGGTGTATACATATATACGTACATGTTACATATATGTATGAGTATCTAAACACACATATCTGGATGCCTGTAGCTCCAAACCCTGCAGAATGACTGGTAGATAGTGACCCCTGAATCATAGGGAACAGACCCGAAAGTGCTTGCGATGCTACGAGTAGGCAGTTGGAGCTAACCATGTCGTGCAACAGCTCACCATGCTCTTGGTCTTGAGTGATTCAAGCCTGAACCCTAAAAACCCTAAACCCTAAACCCTAAGCCCTAAAAACCCTAGACCCTTAAACCCCAAAACCCGAATTGGTGCTCCGGGCCACCTGGATAGCACTTATGCGCTGACCCGGTGCTCATTTGTAGCTCAACTAAAGCTCCCGAAACCCTAAACCCTACAACCTACACCCCAAAACCTCAAACCTACACCCTAAAACTTAAACTAAAGCCTAAAATCCTAAAACCTACACCCTAAAACTTAAACTACAACCCGAAAATCCTAGAACCCGGAAACAGTAAACCCACTCACTGTGAGCCCTTGCAAAGTCTTCTCCGAGAATCCTGCGACAGGCGCTGGAAGGTGGGGGTGCCGAGGAACTTTTCCACCCGCCCCAGCATCTTGAGCATGTGAACGTTCGAGACCTGAAGCAAGGTAGGGGCCTTAATAATTCGAATAGGGTTTTGGGTAGGGTTTTGGGGTTCCTTTAAAGGTTTCCTTAAAGGGTTCTATAAGGGCTACTATAAAGTTTGAGGGTCTAGGGGCCTTGTAATAATTAGAATAGGTTTTGGGGTAGATATTATACTATAATTAGGATAAGGAGCCCCCGAAATAAGGAGGGTAGTCATTAAGGCCTCTATATTATTATTGGAACCCCGAACTATCCTGAACCCTCTACGAACCTAGCATTACGGTTTTACAGTTGGGGCTGCACAGGGTTTAGGGGTATGGGCCCTAAACCCTAAACCTCTAGTTTTGCTGATGCTGTCGTGGATCCCTAGAATGCTTGGGTTTGTTTATAGGGGGACCTGACGATAGAAGCCTCTAGCCTTGAAAGCGGCCCAACTATAGAACCCTATTACCCTAAACCCTAGACCCTAAACCCTAAAAAACCTTAACCCTAAACCCTAAAGCCCTGAAGCCTAAAGCCCTAAACCTTACACCCTATGGCCTTTCTAGGGTCCTACAAGGCCTCCTTTAACGGGGTCTAGGACCCAGGTTCTGGAAAGAGCTACCTCAGGCGCTCAGTTGCTGAGTTCGTAAGCCAACAAAAAGTCTACACTTTCAGTTTCATAAAGGGGTCATACTGTTGATGATATAAATCCTGCATTACCTTAAGGCCCCTAAACTATGGGAATTATGGTACATTCCTTATTGTGGGTAATGCACGATTTATATCGTCAACCGTACTATCCCAAAAAGCTTAAAGTGTACTCATTCAGCTATTGAGGGCTAGAAGCCCCGCGCTGATCAAAACCCCTGACATTCTCCTGGTAATGTAGGAGCCGCCTGATTGAAAAGAAAGGCTCTAAATGCCGGTGTAATGTAGGTCTTTTAGGCCTAAACCTTGAATCCCTAAACCCTAAACCCATGTTTAAGAGCTCCATAGCAAAACATGGGCCGCGGCGCCGAGTTGAAGCCGCTGGTGGCGCAGACGAAGTGATGCTGATTTGAGGCCACGCGAGTGTTGCGCATCACCGCGGGCAAGTAGCCCAGCATGATATCCTGGATCTTATGTGCGTGCTGCTGAACTA